CCTCCCCCATCTGCACTCTCCATCTTCCTCCCCCTCATCCCTCCTCTCCTCCCCACCCCTCTTTCCTCTGCTGGGCCCTTCCCCCTCCTCCCTTCCTCCACCTTCCATCCCTCCCTCCACCCCAGCCCTGCTGTCTGAGGGAGGAGCTGGACTGGAGCTCCCAGAGTGGCCCTCACAGACTCCGGTCTTTCTGTCCAAGGCACTTGTTCTCGGGAGAGAGGAGGCCGTTCTGAAAATCACACAGAGGCCCTCAAATGCCAGGCAGGGCATCTGACTCCCACTCTGTGCCTGGGTAGCCTCTGGTCACGCCCACCTTAGACAGAACCTTGGTAGTGGTGACAGGTGACGGCAGACAGCAGCAGGTCAGGGACTTTGTGAAAGTGCTCTGTGTTGGGCCTGTGGTTAGAGCTGCACCAACACAGTGCTGAGGAGGTGGTTTGTGACACCCGGGCCCCTCACACCCTGACCACCCATTAGGGCCACTGTGGACAGCCTGTCCCCCTCAAGCCACACACATCCTCTGTGAGAGTCCACCCTCACACATACCGCATGCACACCCTGACCATGGATGAGGGGGCCCTGTGAGCACCCCACACACACTCTGACTATGGACAAGGGGGCTCTGTGAGTGTCCCCTACACCCCACACACACCCTGACCACAGACAAGGGGACTCTGTGAGCGCCTCACACACACCCTCACTATGGACGAGGAGGCTCTGTGAGTGCCCCCCACACACCCCATACTCACCCTGACCACAGATGAGGGGACTCGGTGAGCACCCCACACACACCTTGACCATGGACGACGGGATTCTGTGAGTGCCTCACATACACTCTGACCACAGATGAGGGGATTCTGTGAGCGCCTCACACACACTCCACACACACCCTGACCACGGACGAGGGGGCTCTATGAGTGCCTCACACACACCCCGCACACCCTGACCACAGACGAGGGGGCTCTGTGAATGCCTCACACACACCCCGCACACCCTGACCACGGAAAAGGGGATTCTGTGAGTGCCTCACACACACCCCACACTCACCCTGACCACGGACGAGGGGGCTCTGTGAGCGCCTCACACACACCCCACACACACCCTGACCATGGACGAGGGGATTCTGTGAGTGCCTCACACACACCCCACACACACCTTGACCACGGATGAGGGGATTCTGTGAGCACCTCACACACACCCCACACTCACCCTGACCACAGACGAGAGGGCTCTGTGAGTGCCTCACACACACCCCACACTCACCCTGACCACAGACGAGGGGGCTCTGTGAGTGCCTCACACACACCCCGCACACCCTGACCACAGACGAGGGGGCTCTGTGAGTGCCTCACACA